CCCTTTCTGCCAATAACATGGCATTGTATTTTTGGTTTCAAGATTTCTGACACTGACTTTACCAACTAGTGAGGTCTGGGGCAATTCCTGTAGAAACGCCCCTCCTGGTGCTGGTAAAGTTGGTCGCTTTGGAACCAGACTGGCTGGTTCTTCTAGGGTGGATGGAACGGTCCCCCTCACTGTAGCTGGAGACCTTGCACACATCACCAAGGTCCACCCCAGGGTTTGAGCCGCAGAGCGGGGCAGCGTGGGGCTGTCCCTCTCTGTAGTCATGAGCGGAGGATGGAGCCAGGCAGTGTGTGAAGTACAGCCCGTTTACTGGGACCTAAGTCTGGTACATTGCCGTTAGCGTGTACGCGAGTGCCATTCTGTGGGGGGTGGCTTACTATCCAGGTAGGAAGGGACTTTGGCAGACACTGGCATGGCCTCTGAAGTGGGGAACATCCACATATCTTGTCTTAGCTGTGGCCCTTCAGAAGTGCCATCTTCGGTGTGATCAGGTTGCATCCAGACCCCGGCTAGTGAGTGTTAATACTGTTCTCCTGAAAGGTGCCCTGGGGTGGGGCCAGCAGCTTCCCTGGTGCTCACTGGCGGCCTGCCAGCAGGGGTGATGGTTAGTGAAGCCAAGGGCCACCCTCTGCTGCCCTCTGACCCTCTGTCCCTGTGCAGGAATGAGCCGCACGCTGCCTGTCAGAGAGCGCTCCAGGACCGAAGAGGACATCCTCCGCGCCGCCCTGCGGCCCACGGGCAGGAGGGCCGGGAGCCAGGCCGCCTCCGCCTCCGACGACTCCAACGGGCTGGAGTGGGAGAGCGACTTCGTGGGGGCCGATGTGGACGCCAACGGCAACTCCGAGTACTCCGCTGACGCTGTAGGCTTTCACTCTTTAGAACTTGCTGGTTCTACTTTGAGGGCTTTCTCAAGCCTATATTATTGTCTCACTGAAATGCTAAATTGTCATTTCTTGTTACTTAGCAGGTGAGGGGCCGAGGCGAGTGTCAGGTTCAGGTGTTAGGGTAGTGCTCTTTCACAGCTTCACTTGTTTCTGCGACGTCTTCAAATTGATCATCCCTAGAAAGCACAATTAATTTCCATTGTTGACTCTCAGAAACCCTAAAGCATCATTTTCTTTGTATCTTTATTACACATCCTATTATGAAAATGTCAATCACTCCCAACAGAGGGCTCTATGCTCAGAACAAGCTTTTGGACTCTGGGCATCTCCAGCGGTAATAATCAAAGGTCATGTTTCAGAAAATCTGTACATTTAGGGGTTTCATTTCACTCTATATGCCCCTGTATTACTTTAAGTTGATTGGTATATTGTTTCTAGGTGTCTTTTTAAAAATTATTGCCAATAAATGATCTTGAAAAGATTTTACATAAAACATTCTCTGCATGATTTAAGAAAGGAAAATCTAAAAAGCTAATACGGGTATTCCGAAGTAAGTGAAGTCCTTCCTGGAACGAGGTGCTCCGCTGAGTCTGCTTAGCTGCCCCCTGGCCTGTGGGACAGGTGCTTCCAGGGAGGACCCGGACACACCTACACACTGAGCGAGCTGCAGGTGTGGAAGGCGGCCGCCACTCGCTCCCCGCAGACGGTGTGGGTTTCAAAGCCTGCTGCTGCTCCCGGGCATGGGCGGACAGTGGTCGGGAGCCTGCGGGCTCTCAGTGCTCCTGGGACCAGTGGCGCTGCATGTTCTCAGCACGGGTCAGTAGAAACAGTGACTTCTGTGCCGAAAGAAAATCACGGCCCTGTTGGTATTTGAACTGCTAGGTGGTGGTGTCTGTAGTTTTATCTTTTCTCACCATATAAAAATATGACACTTTAAATGTGGATATACAATCAGTAATGCTATAACTCGTCTGTCTTAACATGATTTAGGTCGCAGCCGTGTCATTAGCAGTGTGGAAAGGTGCATAAAGCCACACTGCCTGTGTTAGTGCTTTCTAAAGTTTATATGCATCAGATGGATATTTTGGGTTTGGCATAAGCTAGTATTGTAATTTTTCTTGGCTTCTTGTTCCTAAAGAATTTTTTGAAGGAATGGTAACTTCTCAAGGATTGTGAATAAACACATTTTTACACTTAAAAGTATTATTTGATGATTGCTGTATTCCATAAACATGTAAATATTCTTTGTCTGACTTACAGTTGTTTTGTTAAATCTGTTATTAAGGCAAAAAGTAGTAAGTTAGGTGAAAATGGGACTGAATTTGAAAATGTGCTTTAATTGTTAAGAGAAAGAACTCAAAGTTTCTATTTTATGTTTCTAAAAATACACTAAGATGATGCCTTACTCAGTGACTACTGGAGAACCCACTGTGTGACAGGGTAGGGACTGGCAAGCTCCCTGCTGTATGGTGGCATTCTGGACAGGGGGCAGCAGAGTCACAGCAAAGGAGGTGTGTGACAGGAGGAGGGGCAGCGAGGGGGCGGGGGTCCTGGAGGCAAGTGCGGGCCAGCCTGCCGGGAGCTGCCTGAGCGGCCCCGTCGGTGCTGGAGGAAGCTGGGTCTGGGAAGCCTGGTCGGTCTGTGGGGCACTGGCTACATTCAAGGGCTGCACCTGCAGCCGGGCAGGAGGGGACCTGTGGGGGCGGGGACAGCTGAGCTGTGTGGTGGCCTCGGCAGCAAAGCAGCTCAAGTGGAGGGGACGGGCTTATGTTGGGTTGGAGGTGAGGGTGAGGAAGGGGTCCTGGATCTGAGTGAGGTCGCATAGCTTCCAGGGCAGACCCCCTCCTGGTGCTAGGTCACCTATCCTAGGGCCTGCTTGGTGCAGTGTCACCTTAGGGACATCTCTGGGGAGAAGGTGGCAGGGGCCAGCCTGTTCTGATGGCTCCTGCACCTGGGTCGTCGGCCTCTAGTCCACCTGGGCTCCTGGGAGGAGAAAGCATGGGAATGTGGCAGAGAAGATTCCGGTCAGATCTTTTTGTTGCAGGGGTTACCCGGCATCCTAGTGACAGTGCAGGGCAGGTGCTGGGGACATGTGTGCCACTCGGGTGGAGCAGGTTCCCAGGCTCCGGCACAGGGTTCAGATCGCTGCCCAGTGCACTCCAGGGGGCATGTGGGCAGAGGCCCGGGAGAGTTGACTAGCAACCAGGCAAGGAGGCACTGTCCCAGAACCAAAGGGTGTGCTAGGTCAGCCGGGAGTGCCGTTGGGGGAAGGCTGCCCCACGTGGGGGGTGATCGGGAAGGAGGCAGCGGCCAGGCTTTCACTGTCGAGAGGGGCCGAGGGACTTCCCCGATGCCATTATGCCTGTTTTGTTTTCAGCAACTGGAGAGATTTTTTTAGCAGAGGCCAGAATTTCATTTTACTTCAACTGCACAAATGTATGATTTCATAAGGACGAAGACGTGGAAAAGGCCCTGTATCAAATTATTTCTTGAGGTTCCAGGTCACACAGGCACTGTCCTGAGGTTGAGGGCAGGAGAGTGCATGGGATGGGCCGCGCGTGTGGCCGGGAGGCCGCGGCACCTCCAGCACTGGAGCTCTGTCCCACTCAGCACCAGGCAGGGACAGTGGCCTGTCTACCCCAGCAGGGTGCAGGCCGTGTGAGGGGCTGACCAGGCAAGCGTCAAGGCTGACACAGCACCAAAGGCGGCGAGAGGGCACAGGAGCAGCTAAGCCGCAGCATGCCCAGGGCGGCACTACCCCCGGGAATAAGAGTGGGACCAGCTTCCCCACGAGGGTGTGTGTGTTTGTGCGTGTGTGCACACACACAGTTTTTAAATGCGAATCTTGAGTGAACACACGTCCATCCAGCTTCCACTGAAACAAATAGACAAGTCACGGTAAATGCTAAAAGTAGCACTGCTTTAATTCACTGTGCTGGAGAATTTTTCAGAAAACGATGACATAACCATGTGGTCCTTGTGATCTCATCATGGATACACACGCATGTGACATAGGTCACAAAGACATGTCTGGCCAGCACTGGCACCATATGTACACCTGCTAGTAAACAGCCCATTGAAAGTAAAACTACGAATATTCAAGCATTTATTACAAACATTAACGTACATACAAAGCAAAGCTGCCTAATAAAACAATTCAGCTTACTGTGTGCACGGATGCTGTTAAAAAGTTTGAATTCACAGACATCGAAATAATGTAAAGTACATAGAAGTCCAACCTCAAATTTGGTAAGAAAATACTTCTGAACAAAGTTACTCTTTAAAATATTTACATGTTTTAGATGATTAATTGGACAAGAACCGTCACCTTAGCAGTGAACACTGATTTTATAAAAAGAAAACCAAGGTGTTATTTCTCAAGTGAGTTTCCCCACATGAAAGCCACACGGATGTGCAGACCCTCGGGAATGCCATCTGCCTCCCCGGGACGGCAGGGCCCAACGGCGCACACCCCAGGCGCGGCTTTGGCAGCAGGTGGCTGCCGTGAGATGGTGTCACCAGCCAGGAGTGGCTCCTCCAGAAAACAAAATGTTACGCAGGAGTAAAGCCACACATGATACGAAAATCACAGCGTGGCTGAGGACACGTTGTCACTGTGGGTGTTCTTTGCACATTGACCCTCAGAGACAGACTGAAAATCATTCCTCGTGGGTCCTGGAGTGCAGCAGGTGGCCGTGTTGGCCAGCAGTGTGCAGGGGCCTGCAGTCCCAGCGAGTCCCCATGGAGCAGTGTCTGCAGTGTCCTGCCCCGGCTCCTCGCACAGCCTCTGCTCACGACTCGTTCTCGTCCATTTCTGTGGGAGAAGTGCCGTGGGTGGAGCAGGGTGAGTATCCTCCATACTCGGGGATGGGGCTCTGTGGAAACCCGTTGTTTTCTTGCAAGAGCGAGCTTGGAGACAAAGTAAATTGAGTCTCAAAAAATTCCAGCGACTCGCCGTCTTCCTGCTCCATGAGGAGCTGGTACTGGCCGAACCTGACCAGGCACCTGTGCGGGAGGTCGGCCTTGTTCAGGTAGCCCAGCTCCCTCCCGCCCACGAGCAGCCTGCTCCTCTTACTCATGTTTTTAATCTCAAAAGAGAGGACCGAGCTGTCCGGCTTTTTAAAGAGCTGCAGACAGAACTGAACCCGGGAAGCCTGCCTGTCCTGAAAGGTGTACTGGCACACGCCGGGGTTCCGGCCGAATCTCACCACTTCACTGGACGGGAGTTTCTCTCGGCTATAAAACCTTATGGATTGAAATACTCCACTTTGCAACTGGCTGGGATGGTACACGGTCACCTTCAGACAAGTCACTGTCTCCTCCGTGTCGGCATCTTCAAAGTGGGACATGGTGTGCGCCCAGAGAGCTGCCTGCAAAGATCGAGCCCCGTTAGTCATGCCCCTGCGTCCGGGACCAAGAACTTCTGTTCTGATTTCTCCTGAAAGTCTCCTAATAAGTGATTTTTTTTTTTTTTACTTTAAGAAAAGTACATGGGAACCAGCAGTTAGCGTAATGGCTATGTCACTGGACTCCCACGTAGTCGACCGCGGTTCGTGTCCCGGACCCAGTGGCTTAAAACACGCCGGGCGCTTGTGCGTGCATGCCCAAGTGTCTGGCGAGCGCACGCGCCCTACAGTGAAAATCTCTCCAAAAAAAAAAAAAAAAAAGAACATTAAAAGAACCCTTTCCATCAACCAGTAGCTATGTGGAATCTTATACCAAGCCGCAGGAGTCAGTATTCGTGTCTTCCTGGCGCTGTTTCTGCGTCTGGTCCCGTGTAAACGTGGCCATGCATTCTGGACAGTGAGGACGCATGCCCACCAACAGCGAAAGGTGGCCACCCACAGGGAGGCCTGGGCCTGGAGCAGCGAGCCTGGGGCCTGCAGAGCGCGGCAGCCACGTCAGGTAGGATGGCGTCAGGGCACAGAGGCCCCCTTTGGACTGAGTAAGCTCAGGGTATACATGCAGAGAATGCCTGCACTTTACCAGCGGTGTAATAATGAGATGAATTACGAATTACAAAAGCGAAACACATTTTTAAATGATAAACAATTGTATCATTGGGGCCAGCAGGTGGCGTGGTGGTTAAAGTGCTGGACTCCCACAAGGCCGGCTGTGGTTCAAGTCCAGGACCTGGCCACTTGAAATCTTGCGTGCACATATGCAGGAGGAGGATGGGGAGAAGGGGTTGTGGCACTGCCATCCCCCAGGGGCTCCCACGTTCTCTCTGTCTCTGGCAAGTGCACATGCCCTGTGACAAGAATCTAAACCATGAGTAACTGCAGCACTAACCCTTTATACACTCAGATTTTACTGGGTAAGAGAGCAAGACTACGGGGTTATCAGAAAAGCCGTGATGCGGGACCAGCAGTTAGCGTAATGGCTGTGTCGCTGGACTCCCATGTAGTCGACCGCGGTTCAAGTCCTGGACCCTGTGACTTAACTCACGCCGGGCACATGTGCATGCGTGCCCAAAATCCCGAGAGGAGAATGGAGAAGGGATTGCGGCATGGTCATCCCCCTGGGGGGTGATTTCTCGCTTTCTGTCTCTCTGTCTCTCTGTCTGGCGAGCACATGCGCCCTATAGCAAAAACCTCTCCAAAAAAAGAAAAAAAAGAAAAAGTCATGACGTGTTTTTTCTATGCAAAAATTGTGTCATGACTTTTACGACAACTCAGTAGTACTTAAATGGTGGTTTTATGCTAGTTTCTAAACTTAGACATCACACACTTTAAAAATAAAAAAGAAACCTCCAGAGGGTCGTCTGAACACCATCTGCCCCTGTGCAGGTGGTCTCTGAGGACCGGGGCCCCTAACGGCGGGCGCTGTCCGCCCTCCCTGCGGCCTCATGAGCCACACCTGGGTGCCGTCCAGCGGTCCACCATCGCCTTTCCTAACCAGTGGAGTGTTTAAAGGAGTGTGACACGACAAAATTCATCGCTTGAATATTCGTGAAGTTATTTTGACATGAAACTACCATTGTGAAGTTGATTTATTTTCAAAGAATTACATGTACGTGATTTAAAATTTCAAACAGTGAAAATGTGTTTTAAGGTTTTTGCCAATAGGATGTGTGCACTAGCCAGAGAGAGAGACAGAATGAGAAATGGCCCCTGGAGGATGGCCATGCCGCAGTCCCTTCTTCATTTCCCTGGGATTTTGATCACGCATGCACTGGTGCCGGTGTGATTTTCAAGCTGCCAGGTCCAGGACGCGAACTATGGTTGGCTATGTAGGAGTCCAGCACATTCACCACCAAGCTACCTGCTGGCCCATGAGGGGAGAAAAAAAGATTTTTCTTTTTTTTTTTTTTTTAAGAGAGATTTTTGCTAGAGGGCATGTGCACTCATCGGAGAGACAGAAAGCAAGAAATCACCCTCTGAGGAGATGGCCGCAGCACAGTCCCTTCTCCTCCGGTCCCAGGACTTTGGGCACACACACACTCCTGGTGTGAGTTTGAAGCCACTGGGTCCCGCACTCAACCACACTCAACCATGTGGGAGTCCACCGATGGAACCACTGAGCCATCTGCTGGTCCCAAGAATAAAAGATTTTAAAAGCAAGTTTCTCCCTACTTAGCCCGTGTCTTCCTCCCCTGGAGTCGACCTCTCAGAGTTGCATGGCTTACAGGATCTACACGCTAGCATAACCACGCACACTGCCCACAACGGCAGAAACGTCCCCGCGCTTGGTCCCGTGTCCTGCACTGCTCAGTGGCCCGCAGGCGTGATCCGGGGTCCGAGGCTGCGCAGGCTTCCGGAAGAGCCACACTGAGTCTTGGTCTGGTGTGCGCTTCTGCCAGCGGGCAGAGATGCCGAGGGCCCCACCCGCCTCGCCCCTGCTTGCACTCCTAGGCGCCCTGTGCTGGGCTGGCTGGGCTCGGCTTTGTGAGACTGGCACAGCGGTGCTGACCGAAGCGGGCCGGGACCTTCCCCACTCCTGTGCTTGCTGCCCTTCCCTTGTAAACACAGTCTCGAGCCAGCCTGTGGCCTGGTGGGCAAGGCAGGCAGACCCCACATGGCCAACCACATGGATTGAATCCTGGACCTGGCAGTTTGCATGGCCAACATCCCGACAGGAGAGATGGAGAAGGGATCGCAGTGACCATGCCTCAGGGAGGGTGTTTTTAACTAAATTTATAAAATACAATCTTTCCTTGTGTTTTGCAAAGTTCTGCCAAAAATCAAACTGTAGACTTAATCACTTATTCATCAAACAACATGCTCTGTAAATTTTTTTATTTAGAAATATGTCTTTAATCTATTATTTCAAATAATTATTTTATTGAGGGACCAGCAGTTGGCATAATGGCTATGTCACTGAACTCCCATGTAGTCAACCGTGGTTCGAGACCTGGGCACATGTGCGGGCGTTCCCAAGATCCTGACAGGAGAATGGAGAAGGGACTGTGGCATGGCCATCCTCCCTGGAGGGTAATTTCTTGCTTTCTGTCTCTCTGTCTCTGTCTTTCTGGTGAGCGCACACACCCTATAGCAAAAACGTCCCTCCCCCCCAAAAAAAAACAATTATTTTATTGAACTTTATTTTAAATTTAAATTTGACCACAAAGGGACAGAGAGAGAGAAAGCCACAGGGTCCAGGACTTGAACTGTGGTCGGCCATGTGGGAGTCCAGCGCTCTTAACCACCACACCACCTGCCTGCCCCTAATCTATTAATTTATTTAACCACGTAAGCTTACCCAAGAGAGACAGAGACAGGGAATGTAAGACAGCACTCCTGGGGGGCAGGGCTCACAGGGCGCCACCGGGAAGCTTGGTGTTGGGGGAAGGCGGTCTGCCCAGGGCCGAGGCTCTGGTGGCAGCCAGGCTCCAGCTGCCTTCGCTGGGTGGGAGTGGTGAGCCCAGGCCTAGGACTAACGCAATGGCAGGTGGCCCGTGAACCATGAGATCATGGTCTCTGGCCTGGAGAAACTTAGAACTAACCAGGTTATTCACATCAACTCCCAGGGCCGTGAACACCCCTGAAAGTGACCTGAATCCTGGCTTTGCAGAAAGCCTGGTAGAGAGAAGGCAGAGACTAACCTCCACCGAGACAGGGAAGGTGGGTTCAGAGCCCACTGCGGTGGCGCAGGCTGGGCCACAGAGACCTCCGCGTTAACAGCGACTTCAGGGCCCCATTGCAGCCCGTGATAAGGGAGCCAGATCACACGATGAGCTCGAATCCCAGTCCCAGAGGCTTGAGGAACATGCTCCACGAGCTGAAGAAGTGGAGGCCGCGGGTGAGCACGCCCCACGGGGTGGGTGTCCCGGTCCCGCCTCCCCCTTCTCTGCCTGGTGACGAGCCTTCTGGCAGTAGCACGGAAAGTACCACAGGTAACAAACGGGAAGGAGAGGCTGGGAGGAGCCGCATCCCTGAGGCCCGGTGCATTAGGGCGCGTCCTGGGGACGGGAGGGGCGTGCGTGGGCCGGTCTGTGCCGAGCCCGCTCCCACCTGGTCCATCACTCCCTCACCTCCAGGGCTGCCAGGGCGGCGTGGAGGCGCCGACCAGCACACCCGACAGACTTGGGGGTGTCTGCGGCTTAGCGGTTTCGCGCCCCCGAGACACGCCACCAGGCTGCTCCCGGGCTGGCTCTGCAGCAGGGCGGCAGTGAGGGGCTCCATCTGGACCCCGGGTCGGGAAGGGCCCCTGCCCGCCCTCCCGGCACAGGGTCGGGAGGCTGTGCTGCACCTCCCCCGTCTCTGTCTCTGTCTCTGTCTCCTGCGCACACCGGGAGACTGGGCAGTGACTCGCTTACCCCGCACCACTTCCTCCCGCCGTCCTACGGGCGCGGGTGGCGCGTGCAGCGGCTGCTCTGCTCCTGGCCCGGCCCCGGGAAGGCGCGGGCCCCTCGGCGAGGCCGCCCGGCCGGAGCCGCCCCC